ATTTTTGAGCTAATTTCAGCTCTTTCCACTTTTTTCTGGTAGTTTAAGCTTCTTTCTGACTTTCAACTACTTTTCAGCCATTTATTTGTTGCCATTTTCAGCCTTTTTTAGCTAATTTCCTAAAAATTGTTTTTGCTAGTTTCTGCTTATTTATATCTTTTTCAGCAAATACGTTCTGCTTTCTTCTGCTAATTTAGGTTTGGTCTTCCATTTCAGCTACATTTCTGCATTGTTTTAGCTGATTTCAGCTGTTTCTCAGCAAGTTCTTCTGCACTAAGCATTCACGCTGCATTTTCACAGGAAATTAAGTTTCTGTAGTTCTTCGTGGCGTGGATTCATCTGGTTTCTGCAGATTTGTGTTCTGCACGTAAATGATCTGAATCTCTTGCTCCATCACATCCAAAGGTGCTCGACTGGATTGAGATCTGGTGACGATGGAGACCGTTGGAACGCAGCGAGTTGAGATTTATGAGCGCGCACAGTGTTTGTGTAACCTCTTGTCCAGTGTTGGTGAACCTGTGAGAACTGCAGCCTCAGCTTCCTGTCCTTGGCTGACAGGAGTGGCACCCGGTGGTGTATTTATTCGGCTTCAAGGTTGTTGGGCGTTCAGAGATGTATTCTGCAGACTTTGTTTGTAACGGCTGGTTATTGGACCCATTTTATCTTCTCATTTTTGTCCACACAACTTTCGCTCACTGGATATTTTCTCATTTATGGACCATTCTGTGTAAACCCCAGAGATGGTTGGGTGTGAAAATCCCATTAGATCATCAGTTTCTGAAACAGACCATCTCGTCTGGCACCCACAACATCATGCTCCAAGTCGTCTCGTCTTTGGGTCAGAATGACCCAGTTTTAAAACGGAGGCCTTGGGTCGTTTTGGCTTTAAGGGCAGGGAAGATCATCTTTCTTCCCCGTTCTGATAATAGGTTTGAACTTCAGCACGTCATCTTCACCATGAGAAGATGCCTAAATATAGAGCTTTCCCCATGATTGGCTGCTTGTGTTAACAAAAACCAGAACACATGGACCTAATAAGATGATCGATGACTGTATTTTTATTATTGTGTGACATTCTCTCTACTGTGATCATTTACATTTTTCTCGTCCTGCAGTTTTTATTTAGTTCAACAAATCATGAATCAAAACGTTCGGCTCTTTCAGGACAATCCTGCTATGACTTTTGGTATTGATGCAACTTTAGCTTTTTGAAATATTTAGCCTTTTCTGGCATTTTTTTCTCTCGTAGAAAATGAATCAAGCTCATTTTACATCCTGCAAATCTTTAAATCTGTTTACAACCTTCTACTGCTTCTTTCACTTTTTGTTCTGCTTCAGCTTCTCTCAGCTTCCTTCTACAAATTTAATATATTTTCAGCTGATTTCAGCTGTTTTTTAAGTTGTTTAGTGCTCCTTTCAGATTCTTTCTGCTAACTACAACATTTTTTGTGCTTCTAACTTCTTTCTGCTAATTTCATCTTGTTATGTTCATCAGCTTATTTCCGAAAGTTTCAGCATTTTCTGCTTTTCAGCTACTATTTAGCTGTTTTATGCTAATTTGAGCTTTTTCAGCACATTTTTTGCACTCATTTCAAGTTTTTCAGCCTAATTCTGCAAAAAATGAACTCTATTCAATTCCTTCTTGTAATTTCAGCTGCTTTCAGCTTTTTAGCTACCTTTCAGCTAATTTTTTTTGCTAATTTCTGCTTTTTAATATTATTTCCACTTTTTTTTCTAATTTCTTCTTCTTTCAGAAACATGTTCTTTCTGCTTTCTTCTGCTAATTGAAACTTGTTCTACCTTTTCAGGTACGTTTTTTTTAAGCATTTTTTAAAATTTCAGCTGTTTTCATGGTAATTTTTGTTACTTTCAACCTAATTAACTTCTTTCTGCTAATTTCAGCTTGTTTTGCTCATTTCAGCTTTTTTGCTAGTTTCAGCCTTTTCTGCTATTTCAGCTACCATTTAGCTGTTTTTTGTGCGACATGTAGCTTTTTCAGCCAATTCCACATTTATTGAGCTAATTTCAGCTCTTTCCACTTCCTTCTGGTAGGTTAAGCTTCTTTCATCCTTTTCAGCAATTTTTTTGCTGAATTCAGCCTTTTTTAAGCTAATTTCCTAACTTTTATACATTTCTGATTTTTAAAATCTAATTCAGCAAATATATATTGTTTCTGCGTTCTTCTGCTAACTTAGGTTGTGCTTCAATTTCAGCTACATTTCAGCATGTTTTCTTTAGCTAATTTCAGCTGTTGTTCACCAAGTTCTTCAGCAATATGCATTCACACTGCATTTCCCAGGAAATGCCATTTTTCTAGTTAAGATTACATCTGAGTGTTTGAAAACTGTTTTCTTTGTGCAAGTCCTGCTACAACTTAGTATTCATCAAACATGAATCTTTTGATTAATATAATTAGGGGTTTGCTCTATGATGTCACAGGTTTTATTAGTTTCTTTCTCCCCAGTTCCTGCGTTTCACTTCCTCCCTTGACAACTCGTGGTCTCAGCTGAAACATTTAAGTGTTCTATAAAATAAAACCATTTTTAGCAGAACTGCAGTGTTTTGGTATTAATGTTCCTTTATATAAAATGTCACAACAAAACCCAGAATTCGCTCATTGCAACATTGTAAATGTGTGCGGAGCCTATAATTTCAGCGCCTCAGTTATTCCCAACCTGCCCTGTAAGCATCGGTTATTTTGTTTTGAAGATTTAAGGCTGTTACTCAGACTTCGGCTGTGATCCTCAGTGGCTTATTGTTCCTGAGTGGATGCCACAAGTGATTAGGCTGCTTTATTTGGAGCACCAAACACCTTAGCTGTTCTCTAAGGAGCATAACAAAGTTACTTTTGCAGACAAGAATGCAGCCGTCAGCGCGTGCAACATGAAACACGACTCATTTTCCCAGAAAACCGTTTCAAAGCAAAGACAGTGTATTCCCAAATTACTAGGTTGTAAAACGTTCAAATCATTTCAGCCTCTCGGGCTGTTATTACTGCTTTTTGCTGCCAGAAGATGGGCACAGTAATGTTGGTTTATTCATCAACACTTCTAACACAGAAGACATTCTTTAACAAAAAAAAAAAAAAAAACAGTTCCAAGAAATAACCCGAGGAAGGTTTTAGTTTTAGTCTAAAACTGCATCGGTGTCGTAAAAGCTCATACGCAGCTACAAAGGCCTTGATCCGTTCTCACCTTCCTGTTGAAACTGATCTATTTGTTGAGCATTTTCATACATTTCATGTGTTTGAAGGCTGGTATTTACCGAACATCACAGCAGTATTACAAGTGTAAAGAAGCTCTGAGTAAATGCTGCGACTGGATGGGATTTGTGTTTAAAACAGCACGTTTGAGTTACATTTTACGTAACTTAGGTTGGTATTTGAGATCAAAACACACTAAATAAGCGCATGTGCCCGACTGTGGTCATAACAAAATGAGCAAGTAAAGAACTCCAGATGAGATTTTTTTACACAACCACAACAAAGAACTAAATAAAATCCCCAGAGTTTATTCTACCCCCCAGAGAGTGAGGCAGTGATTACATCTAACAATGTGCTGCATAGGTAGATAATTACTTTCATAGAGGTTCTTATGATCTCGAGTTACCCAAATGCCAAAGTATTACATTTTTTAAAAACTAATTTTAAAAGGTACGGCGTCTAAAGATTTTCATTTATCTGGAGGTCACTCTTTGGAAGATTAACCTTGTATCCAGATATTTTCCTGAATTTTTGAAGCAAAGTAATTCAGGAATGCTGGTAAGAGGGTCTGATATATACAAAAGCATGTCGTCTGCATATAGAGAAACTGCGCTCGGTGCCTAATCGATTTATCACTTTAACGATGGAGTTTTGCTGTAACGCAAATAGAGGTGGAGAGCGGTCACCTCTGTCTCGTACCCGCTGCAGTTTGAAATATGTTACAGTTAGTGCGGACCGCCGCCATCAGGGAGGTACATCAGCCTCAGCCACGATATGAATAAATAAATAACTTTAAAGTCTCGAAGAGATAACTCCACCTGGTCAAATGCCGTCTCAGCGTCCAGTGAGAGAATGACTCCGTCACAGGCGGAGTAAGAGTGTACACCACACGAGCAGCTGCTTAACCATGAAGAAAGCCGAACTCCTGAGAAGTTTTATACAAAATAAAAAACATATCATGGTTTATGATGTCAGCAGGAATATGAACTTGTGTTCACAGCAGGTAGTTCTTTCCCCGAGGACTTCTTTTTTTTGTCTTGAACTGAGCCATTTATGCAGTAACTTAAATGACATTTATCATCGTTATAGATTCAGGAAATGGTAAACACACGAGTCTGAAAAATATTTAAAGACTTTCTGTCACATTTATGATAAAATGCCCTGATTCTATAGAGAAAGCGACACAGCTGGCTAAAGCTTTGTTACAAACATTTTGTTCTCTTCAGTTTATTTAATGAGAGCAGCAACAGCTACTTTATGAGGATCCTGCACTTTAGTGCTTTTATGAGGCTGGGAATGACTTTTTATCACGTTGCTTATT